AGAGAGAAACGGAGCATGAGCAGGGGAGGGGTAGGCAGAGAGGGAGACACAGAATCCAAAGCAGGCTTCAGGCTCTGAGCTGTCAGCACAGAGCCCGACGTGGGGCTCGAACTCACGAGCCGTGAGATCATGACCTGAATCAAAGTCAGACGCTTAACCAACTGAGCCACCTGGGGGTTCCAATTTATGATCTTTTAATTTAATGTATTGAAGTCCATAGGTTACATTTAATCTGGTAAATTTAATTTACTGAAATTGAGTCTTAAACCTGTAGATTTAGGAAAAAGCTAGGCTTGAAATTTTTACCTTTAATGAACTGAATAGCAATTAAACCCCAAGACGTGGGAAACAATTAATTTTGTACACAAAAGCCCCCATCGTATGTCAAGATTAAACTGCAATGGCAATCAACTCATCCTATATGTCAAAACACTAATGCTATGTGTCTATTTCTCTAAGCTAGAGTTTAGAGAAAGCTTATTTATTCAGCAGTCTGGTTTGCTGGTTAGATGAATATTTTTGAAAAGCCTCCAGCAGAGGCAAAGTCCTTGAGGACATGAAGCTATTTTCATCTTCCTCTACACAAACCTCATCATCATTCCATTTGGGAAGGTTAACATTTGATTACGGGTTCCTCTCTTTACTTCCTAACATCAGAAGGCAGCTTGGTAGACCGAAAGGAATATTGGATTCATTATCAGCAATTATGAGGGCTTTGAGTCATCTCTCTACTCATCAGTTTCATGTCATTGGATCAGTTACCACCACACATCTGAATTTATTTTCTTTATTTTTAAAAGAATCATATCTGGTGAGGTTGTTACGATGATAAATTCATTTTTCCAACAACATGGTTTGAAAGTTTAAGTCCTATGATAGGCTATAATCAGAGAGGAATCAAAGATTCTTCTGTCACGGAGTTCACACACTCAATATTATGTAATGGAGTTAACAGACTACTGCCTCAATGATTATAATACAGAGAAGCAAGTGATACCTTCTGTAACAATAACTAATACTTTTGAACACGTACTATGTGCTACTTACCATTCTAAGCAGTTCTCTTCAGTTATTTTACATAATCTTACATGGATTATATAAAGCACGTCTTGCTGTCTATCCACACTTTACAGATGAGATGAGTGAAGTACAGAAAGTTGAAGTAATTTGAAGGGGTTAGTAGAAAATGTAATAATCATAAAGGTAGATTTGAACTCAAACCAGTCTGAATCTACAACTCGCCCTCTTTACCACTACAGGACACTTCCTCTTAAGGATGAATTCCAGGGGCATCTGGGTGGCTCGGTCGGATAAGTAACAGACTCTTGATTTCAGTGTCGGTAATGATCTCCTGGTTGTTAAGAGCGAGCCCTGCACTGGGCTCTGCACTGCCAGCGTGGAGCCTGCTTGGGATTCTCTCTCTCCGTTTCTCTCTCTGTCCCTTCCCCACTCACTCGTGTGCATGCGCTCCCTTTCAAAATAAATAGAAAATTAATAAAATGTTTATTTATTAACAACAGATTTTTACAGTATCAGGCAAGTCTGAAAGACTGATTACAGGACATCGCTATTAAAAGTAATGACATGGGGCGCCTGGGTGGCGCAGTCGGTTAAGCGTCCGACTTCAGCCAGGTCACGATCTCGCGGTCCGTGAGTTCGAGCCCCGCGTCAGGCTCTGGGCTGATGGCTCAGAGCCTGGAGCCTGTTTCCGATTCTGTGTCTTCCTCTCTCTCTGCCCCTCCCCCGTTCATGCTCTGTCTCTCTCTGTCCCAAAAATAAATAAACGTTAAAAAAAAAAAAAAGTTAAAAAAAAAAAAGTAACGACATTTAATAATATATAAGAAAAACTGGTACCATCTACAAAACCCTCATTGCTTCACACCAAGACAGATATGTGAGCCAAAGATACCACAGTCATTACGATGTGTGTAAGATATGTTCGAATAATTACTTCCTTCCTGCTGTATCTTAGTCACTACGACAAATACTGGGTATTTGTTGACAAAACAGCAGGCACAGGAGTATAGCAAAATAGTTACGATATTATTACAATGAATTATAACAAACCAGAGACACTTTTAATCACCAAGTGTATGGGCTGAATTATCCCCTCAAAATTCACATGTTGAAGTCATAACCATCAGTACCACAGAATATGCCCATATTTGGAGATAGAGTCTTCAAAGAGGTAATGAAGTTAAAGATGACTGGTGTCCTTATAAGACAAAATTAGGACACAAGTACAGAGGGAAGGCTGGGTGAAGATGGGAGAAGATGGCATCAAGAAGCCAAGGAGAGGCCTCAGAAGAAACCCAATTTGCTGATACACCTTGATCTCAGACTTCCAATCTCCAGAATTGTGAGACAATGAGTTCTGTTGTCTCAGCCACCCAGCCTGTGGTCATTTGTTACAGCAGATCTAGCAAACTAATACACCAGGTACTTTCTCATTTCTTAATTCATTAAAATCTCATCTAGCACTCAAAACAGTCATCTATGATCATAGTACCCCCATTTTATAGGAAAGGGAACCAAAGTTTCAGAGGAGTTAAATGCCAGCTCTGATTGTCCAGGGAGCATGCACCAGGATGCAGGATTCAGACTGAAATCCTGCGACCCCAAATCCTACCCACTGTCCACTCTGAGCAGGTGATGCGCTGGATGACACCTGGGCTTTGGTCTCGACAATGCCCTAAACTAGTTGTGGGACCTTCAGAGTCATTCATTTTTTTAACATCTTTACTATTTGATCTGCACAATACGGGGGCTGAGTTGAATCCTCTAAGAGCTGAATAGACTAAGGGTTTATGTAAAAGACTTTCCAGTTTTAAAGTTCAGCTCAGGGCACCTGGGCGGCTCAGTCGGTTGAGGGTCCAACTTGGGCTCAGGTCATGAGCTCACAGTCTGTGAGTTCAAGCCCCGCGTTGGGCTCTGTGCTAACAGCTCAGAGCCTGGAGCCTGCTTTGGATTCTGTGTCTCCCCCTCTCTCTGCCCCTCCATGCTCATGCTCTGTTCTGTCTCTCTCTCCCTCTCAAAAATAAGTAAACATTAAAAGTTTTTTTTTAAATAAAGTTCAACTCAAATAATTGTCTTCGAATATCTAAAGAAATTATCTCTGTAAACTCATTTATTTATTAGTTTTTTTTAATGTTTTTATTTTATTTTGAGAGAGAGACAGAGACAGAGCATGAGCAGGGAAGGGGCAGAGAGAGAGGGAGACACAGAATCCAAAGCAGGCTCTAGGCTCTGAGCTGTCCGCACAGAGCCTGATGTGGGGCTTGAACTCACATACTGTGAGATGATGACCTGAGCCGAAGTCGGACGCTTAACCGACTGAGCCACCCAGGCGCCCCAAATTTTTTTTTAATGTTTATTCATTTTTTGAGAGAGAGAGAAAGAGAGAGAGAGAGAGAGTGCATGAGTGGGAGAAGAGCAGAGAGAGAGGGAGACACAGAATCTGAAGCAGGCTCCAGGCTCCAAGCTGTCAGCACAGAACCCGATGCGGGGCTCGAACTCATGAACCACGAGATCATGACCTGAGCCAAAGTCAGACACTTAACCGACTAAGCCATCCAGGTGCCCCCTCTCTGTAAACTCATTTAGAAGTGAAAGAAAATTCAGCATTTTGGGAATCACTATTTTTCCCATGGAAATTTTGGTTTTATCAAAAAAAATATATCTACATGACGGTGTTTGCAAACATTATGATCTTAACTCATTTAAAAAAGTTACTTTCATAGGGCTTGTATCCCATTAGTTAATTTTCTGTTGCTAAAGATTTACCCATTCTGAGCTTTTAAGGATTGCATATAGTTTCATGAACAAAACACAGGATTGAAATGTTTTACATAAAATCTGAGTTCAGTCTTAAAATCTTTCGTGAATAATTACATAATTTTGAGTGAAAAAAGAAGTCGCAGACATGAGGCTCCAGGTCTGAAAACTGAGGTAAATGGCTTCTGCATGCCTAGCAGGGAAGTTTGCCATTAAATGAGAGTATGTGTGGATCACTTTTGAACTTTTTTGGAGGGAAGTTGTTGAATATTTTCAACAACAATGTAATTAATAAAAACTCATAGTGTTAGGTATCTTCTTTCAATGACTTCCTCAGCTTTGAAATACTTTGTGCATGCATGCTTGATTTGCAATTTTTTCATAGCCATGGTGAATGTACATCTTGTTCGTCAGGAAGAGGAAGTGTATGGCAGAAAATAATGTGTCCCACAATGGAGAGTAGCAGGTGCAATGACTGCCGAAGTTTGAATTGTGAATCACCCCTGGGTGTTCTCAACTCAAAAAAGGCAATCTGCCCAAGGGGGAGAAAAAAATTCTACACACCACACACTCCATCCAATCATGTAAAGACAAATCAGCCTCCAGGCAAATCAAATGTCTTCATTTAAAGCTTACCTGGATTTGGCACGCTGCCCACTTTCCAAATCTCTTTAACAATAGACTTTCACAAACAGTTAAAAACAGGCACACTGAAAAGCATACCCTTTGCGATGCTATTTTTAAAAACAAGGGACTCTTGAGCTAATTGCTGGGGAAAAGGAAAGTTCCTTTCTGAGTTTGCAACCTGTCCTTACGGGATTAGTGGGTGGGATTGAGCTGTGCTCGGGAGCATAAATAGAGGCTCAGCTGAGCTGGCTCACTAGGAGGTTTGGACCGCAGTGAGGCCAGCTGGCTCACACAGACAAGTGGGTGGGGAAATCCAGGTAAGGCTCCTGACAATAATGTTGGCAGGGCACTGGCTAGAGTGAGTTTGGGGCTCTGATTACCGTGTAAAGTTACAGGAATCAATAGAGAAAGAAGTGCAAGGTAGTTCCCAGGGCAATGAAATGAGATGTGGGGAAGGAATTTCCATCAGAGTCTTACCAGGGCCTTTCCTTGGCCAGAGCTGGTGGAGGGCTGCATTTCTGAGCTATTTCAAGGTAATGCTTTCTCCTTTTAGCAACAAGGGGTTTAAGAGTGGGTGAGCTCTAAGAGCTTTTCAAGCCTGGGACAGGGCCTACGGTCTTCTGTCACTATGCACTGCTCATCATCTAATGCTCTGTTTCTTTCCCACTGGCTAACGCACAGTTCCCCAGGACTACGAAATCTCAGCTCAGACTGCCTGCTAGGAACTACACGTGGGAATATTACTGCAGATCAGAAAAATGGTTCTTTTTCTCTGTTGTAAAGATATTCTTGTTGCACCTTCAATCTTGAAATTCATGGGATGGGCTACAAGAAAAGAGATGGGCTGGCTTTCCTGAAGCATTTACGAACAGGGACACTGAAACTTCCTGCAAATTCATTCCTTGCTAAAGATAAGAGGACGGACATACAGCCACCGTTTCATAGAGTGTGTGTTTGTATCCAAATTCTCATCATTTTCTATGGTTAGCATTGTGATTTTTTGTTGTTGTTGTTGTTTTCTTTTGTTTTAGAGAGAGAGGAGGAGGGAGCATGAACAGTGGCAGAGGAAGAGAGAATGTTAAGCAGGTTCCATGCCCCGCACAGAGCCCAATAAGGGGCTTGATATCACGGCCCTAAGATCATGACCTGAGCTGAAATCAAGAGTCAGGGGCTTAACTGACTGAGCCACCCAGGCGCCCTGGCGTTCTGTTTTGAGGTGGTTTATGCAGGAAATTTGCAGGCAGAGTCCACTTCGTATGAAACCTCAGTAGAATGAATGTCAGTAGTGAGCCCACAGTGGTGTATTTATAAAGCAGGAGTGACATTAGGCTTCAATGGGTCACCCTGCCATAAAATGCATGTATTATGTCAGCAGTTCCAGCCGGTAAGCTGTGCAGCTATTACAAGGGGTCCTGACAGTCAGGCAACAAGAACGGCCGGTGAGCAAAATAGATAAAACGTCTCACTACCAGTTCGTGATTATTTTTTCTAACATAAAGAGGTGCTGTTGCTATAAGTAAAATACAAAATCAAATGTTTGTTGATAAAGTAATTATTTGCCACAAAGTAATGATTTGTTATGAACCAACTAACATCTAAAAAGTACAATTATTCTCATGTCAAAGTTCTGTTTTGTTTTATTTTTTTCTTTTCTAGTGTTAAAAAGATGTCTTTGTACTAAGAAGGCTGGGAATTGTTGGCTATCTGTGTAGAAAATGAAGGAAGTGTATCCTTGCTTTTTGTTTGTCTTTTTTGAGTTAGACATTTGTGGCTACCTGTGATGGTTTGGATAGTAACTGGTCAGTTTAATCCAAGCCATCATCTGGGTTTGGTAACTTAGCAATGCTTTTTTTTTTTTTCGAAAACAGCTAATGCTCAACAACAATTTCCACTCAAGCTATCAGAATATGAGAAAGGCCCCCCCTACCCCCAGCTTAAAAATACTAACCGTTGATAACCCATCCTGTTTCCTCCGCAGAACTTATTCAGAGCTACACCAATATTAGTGAGATATGTTTAAGCAATTTCAGTCTTTGTCCTTCCTGGAACCCCATCCCCAATTCTGCATGTGATCAATAACCACAGCAACTTGCTAATGCAACTCTCTTTACTAGCTAGCTCTCTCCCTCCCTCACTCATAGATCTCATCTTACCGTTCACTTTCCTACTTATAGGCATCTGCTTTGTAGTAGTGAAGCTTTCCCAAAGAATTAACTGTGAAATACAGGAAGGGAAAACAATTAACAAAGAGATACCCATGGGTTGGTTCTCTGTATTATGAGTCCCATAGAATATTCTGTGCACTGAAAGACATGCCCACAGTCACCTACTGATACAGACCCGTGGAGAGAGTCGAAGAACTGTCTCAATAGACTGAACTTGCACCGACATATTTTAGTCAATTCAGAACTAAAAATGGAATTTGAGTAAATGTTACACTAGGGAGTTATGTGGGTACAAGTTTTCAGTGAAGCGACGAAGTTGGCAGGTTTTAATTTAAATAAGGATTCATTTTACTTAGATCTTACTCTTTAACGGCAATGCCCCCATTTTACCAGAAGGCCGGAGATGTGTGTATGTTTAGGGCCCTTGTTTCAGGATGGGAAAATGGGAGCCAGCCCTGCAAGATGGAAAGATCCATAAGACCTCCTAAGCTTTCAACTCTCTGAATTTCAGACTCTCCATCTATAACATCAGGCATGGGTAGTGGGAATGGAGGAGTAGCCCCTAGGGTGCCGTCCAGTACTCAAAATTTCAAAATATAGAGCTTAAATGTAAACTCCTTTAGCTATAAGAGTATATACATCTATCTATTTTCTTAAAAAATATCTATATACCTATTTCTATACTGTAGGTTTCTATGGAGATCTACATCAGTATACACACACAAACACACATACACACACACACACATATGGCTGTACGCCTGTTAGTAGAAAAGTCAATAGATATTCACACTATGTATTCTTAGGAAAATTATGTGGAAGGTAGTTTTTCATACCAGCTAAGCCTCAATTCCTTTGTATCCCATGGCCATGATGCAGTCTGAAGGTTTTAAAGCTGCTCGTTCCTTTTTGTTTTACTGATATTTTGCTTATTTCCACATCAGATTTGCCATGGAGAAGATCTCAGTGTCAGCATTCTTGTTCCTTGTCGCCCTCTCTTACACACTGGCCAAAGATATCACAGTCAAATCAGGAGCTAAGAAGGACACAAAGGACTCAGCACCCAAACTGCCCCAGACCCTCTCCAGAGGTAGGAGAGAGCTTCCGGTCGGCTTCCAATGCCACTTAATTGAGAAGCTGAGACTTGTGTGCCAAACATATTTTTGCATGTGTTTCTCCTAAATTCATCAAAGTTTATCAATGTTTCTGCTTTGTATATTTATCCCAGTCTTCACCTTTGCTTTTCAACATTTTTAGTCTGAAATTATAATAGCTTTAAATATACTGGTTCATTTTGTTCTAGGTTGGGGTGACCAACTCATCTGGACTCAGACATACGAAGAAGCTTTATACAAATCCAAGACAAGGTAAAGAGAAGGGTTACAGAGTTCTCCTAAAGCTCACAAGTGCACCACCTAGTGATACATAGCTGTACATGAAATCTTGTTAAAAATTACCCAATCTCTCTTTGTCTCTTACAGCAACAAACCCTTAATGATTATTCATCACTTGGATGAATGCCCACACAGTCAAGGTAATTTGTTCTTCTAAATATAATTTCCTTTATAGGCTTTTAGCTTTAGGGCCAAGGTTCAGGTCATTCATCTTTATATCCTTAGCACCTAGCATAGTTGAATAAAACATAACATCTTATGTAGTAAGAACCTATTTTAAAGTAACTCCAGGGGCGCCTGAGTGGTTCAGTCAGTTAAGCATCTAACTCTTGATTTCAGCTCAGGTCATGATCTCACACTTTGTGAGTTTGAGCCCTCCATCAGGCTCAGCGCTGACAGCACGAAGCCTGCTTGGGATTCTCTCTCTCTGCACCTCCCCTTCTGTGTGTGTGTGTGTGTGTGTGTGTGTGTGTGTGTGTGTGTGTCAAATAAATACACATGTTTTAAATTAAAAAAAAATAATAAAAGTACAGTTCAACTTAAAATACAATAGAAAGCAATGCTTTCAGCCACTGATGAGATGGATACTTAGTGATTCTTCTTTGTATTCTAGCTTTAAAGAAAGTGTTTGCTGAAAATAAAGAAATCCAGAAATTGGCAGAGCAGTTCGTCCTCCTCAATCTAGTTGTAAGTTCACTTTTTTCATTGCTGACATTCCTCCATGACTCATTATTTGAAATCGACAATCCATCTTTTCCTATGCATTCTAGCCACACGGCACGGACTGGGGTCTGTTCCAAATGTCTCCTCTCACAGATTAGAGAGAGAGAGAGAGAGAGAGAGAGAGAGAGAGAGAGAAACATAGTTTATTAATAATCTATCTCGCATGCATATGCTTTTATTTAGTGATTAATAATTTTAGCTTGTCTGAAAAATGTGCTCTTGTGGTCAGGATTTTCTCTGTGGCTATAATAATTGGAAGGTTTTTGTCTTCGCAAGTCTCTTCCTGTGCCCCTTTGCCTGCAGTCCTTCTTAGTCCTTGTCTTCCTCTCTCCCTGGGAGAGACAGTTTCCTGGTGGTCTAAATGAAATCACTGCACATGCAAAATAGCTTCCCCTCATTCCCACTTTCCTTCACCATCAACACCCCTCCTGTTGGTCAGGCTTTCTGTCTGCAAGTTCTTTCTACTGCAAGTTCTCTCTCTCTCTCCCCCTTCTTTCCAAGTTGACATAGGTTGGCTTCTTCAAAGAGCATTCTTGGGGCGCCTGGGTGGCTCAGTTGGTTAAGCATCTGACTTCAGCTCAGGCCATGATCTCATGGTCCACGGGTTTGAGCCCCATGTCAGGTTCTGTGCTGACAACTCAGAGCCTGGAGCCTGCTTTAGATTCTTTGTCTCTGTCTCTCTCTGCCCCTTCCCTGCTCATTCTCTCTCTCTCTCTCTCTTCCCCCACATCTCAAAAATAAATAAACATTAAAAAAAAAAAAAAAGAACATTCTCATCTTCCTCAGCACTCTTCCACGGGCTCACTTTCCTCTTTCTAACTTTCAGTATTAGTGACTTGGTGAATCTCTACTTGACATACTTGTCTTTTTCATATTTTATATTCTCTATGGACAACTTCATCGACAACTGTCTTTAACCAATGCCCATACACTGGTAATCCCCACATCTCATCCAAACACGCGACAATTTCCAACTTGTGTGTGCAATCGTGGTCCAGATATTGCATTAGTTAAGCTTCAATTCAACAGGTCCAATGCTGAATTTATCAGCTTGGTTCAAGATTTTCAAGGAGCTCTTCTTTCATTATTCCCTGTTTCACTGTAAGTGTTACTCTAGATGGCAATCTCCTACTCACCTTCAGCAGTCAAGAAACCCTGTGGTCTAACTGCTACATATTCTTGCTATTGGTCATTTCCCTGTAGAGTGAGGACTACTATTTAGTGTCACAATTTTTCTCCGCCTAGTTGACTACAGCATTGCTAAATGGCTCTGTGCCTACAAAATAAGTCCCAGCTAGTCCCACATGGCCATCAGGGTAACGATTCCGAAAACCAAACTGGGGTTATGGTACTTCTTCTAAATCTCTCCAGATGTTCTTGTCTACTTATGAACAAATGCAAACACTGGCATAGTGTGAAAGACTGCTCAAGAGCCAGCCCCAGAAGCAGCTCTCTAGCATCTTCTCTCGCCAATACCTCATGCATGCCCTATATTTCAATCCTCCCAAAACACATAGTCAGACCAGAAAGTGCTGTGCCTTTCTTCTACCTTTGTGCAGTCATTCCCCACTGTCTGCAGTGACCTCATTTTCCACGTAACCGACTCCTGTTCATTTTTTAAGACTCCTTCCTACTCACTTCAGAAAGTCTTAGTAAAACTTGCACACGGGGCTAAATGTCCTGTTCTGGTCACCCACTTCACCTGAACAGCCTCCATCATAACACTTCACCAACTGGATCCTCGATATTCATTTTCCTACCTGTATCTCTCAATTGACAGTGCATTCCTTAAAGGTAAGTGCTATAAGACAAGCCTGTTTGTTTCTGTAATTTCTCTAAATGTGACTTCTGTTTCTTTAATTATTCTATTTCCTATCTCACCCAACATGTCTTCCCAAACATTATAACTCCCTCCATATTCTCACTTCTTGAATGTTTTTCCTCTTGATCCTATCATTCAGTCCTCTACATCAGGTTTTGAATTACAGTCTGCTCTATCTTATTTCTTATTTCATGTGTATAACCTGCCTCCCCATGTGTATTATAAACTCTCTGTGGAAGAGATGTGCCTTAGAGTATCTCAAGATGCCTAGCCCTGTAATGGACACATTTCTGGATTAACAAGTATGAAAACAACTAAAGAACAGACCAACTAAAAGCTGTCTTTTCTTTTAATCTTAGTATGAAACAACTGATAAACACCTTTCTCCTGATGGCCAGTATGTCCCCAGAATCATGTTTGTTGGTAAGTAAAAGTGACAGTGAGATTAAGCACACCTGTCATTTCCCACGTGCTGCAGTATCTCTTGTTGACTCCCCCTCCCCATCTGCTATTCAGTCATGGCCATTGCCATTGTCATGCCCTAACAAGGGGTATGACATTCCTTTACACTTCTCAACCTATTTTCATTAGAAAATTCAAGCTTCTACCTATTTCCTCATCTGTTTCTCGTCTGCTAACATTAACTTATCATGTCCTGTCACAAATACATCTGAAAAGGAAGCATTCCCATTAACTCTTTAAATGCATTGCCCATTTTCCTGAATACATCAGGCCTGTAAATACTTATTTTTCATCTGGCAAACTTCCAATTCGTATGTTGGATTTTTCATTCTGACATTTTTGATAATTATTTTGGGGCAAGTGAGGAAGATGCCCTGGAATAAAAGAAATCAGAGGAGTCCTGCTCCTTCCAGCCACCGGTGCTTTTCAGGTGCTGTTCTCTCTGCTGGAGAGCTCTTTCTGCTTCCCCTATGCACTTCCCCCATCACCGAGTTAACTCCCCAGTCATCCCTGTCGTTCACTGACCTGGCACAATCCCCACTATGTGCTCTTGTGACATCATGTTCCTCTCAAGAGACACACTTACCTCAGTGATAAGTTTGCATTAAGTGGGTGATTGTTTAGTATATATTTTCCCCCACGGGACCACAGCTCTTGGGGGCAGGTACTGTGTCTGTTTCTTCTCACCCTCCTATTTGCAGAATGGCCCTCTGGTAGGCTGGCAATAAATATTTGTTAAACGACTGAACAAATGAATTGGGAGTGGCTTGGAACCAAGTCAGAGTGATTTAAGGACACTGTATAAATAAATCCACCCCATGGCAGAGCCCACGCTCACTGAGCTCTAACTCACTATTGGACCATCTAACTCACTAAAGACACATTAACAGGGGAGAGGAACAAGTGAGGGATATAAAGGAAAAAAGCTGAACTGGAGCTAATAGTACAGATTCCATTTTGTTAGGATTTAGAAAACTGAGAGCCCTTAAACCGGGACTTTATAGGTCACCCAGTTACATTCTGTACAGCAGTTCTTTTCATAGTATCCCTGTCTAAGGGCATTTTTTTTTTCAACGTTTATTTATTTTTGGGACAGAGAGAGACAGAGCATGAACGGGGGAGGGGCAGAGAGAGAGGGAGACACAGAATCGGAAACAGGCTCCAGGCTCCGAGCCATCAGCCCAGAGCCTGACGCGGGGCTCGAACTCACGGACCACGATATCGTGACCTGGCTGAGGTCTTAACCGACTACACCACCCAGGCGCCCCTAAGGGCATTTTAACCCACATTCAATGCCTTCCAAAAACCCACCTCAGGCAGCTTGCTTGCTCTTCCAGCTCAGGAGTTTCCACACTGCCTGCATATTAGAATCACCTAGAAGATTTTAAAACTCAAGCTGCCCAGCCACATCTCAAACCCATTAAAGCAGAATCTTGCGCAGGGGAAGGCAAGGGGGGGGGGGGGGGAGGCTGGAGGTATTTCTTAAAGCTCTCTTAGTGGTTTCAGGGTGCAGGCCATGGCTTGTGAGCCAATGGTTGTTAAAAAGCTTTTCTTATGTTAATTTATTACAAAGAGTAGACCGTGTGTTTGTATCCTGTGCACGTACCAGAAGTATAATAGGTTTTAAGTCTTTGTTGAACAAATAGATGTCTGCTTTCTGTAATTAATGTCAGTTGGTACCATTCCAACATTCTGAAATGAAAGATTGCCCACTTAAGTACCAGCAACATACTCTGCATACAAGCGTCTGATTCTCACAGGACCTCTTCATCTTATTTTCAGGACATGTACCTTAAGCTCCTTCAATCTTCTCTTGCAAGACAAGGTGCCTAGACGTGTGTAGACCCTAGTATCACCCTTTTTGATACACATTATTGTTAAAATACCTTTTTTTCTCATTAAGTGAAAAGTTAACTTGAAAGCTTCAAGTTAAATACAAAACATGAAAAAATGGACTTAAACCTATAGGGACATATGTATGCATGAGGGAAGACTCTTAAGTCTTTATTTTTCAAATGCATCCAGATAACAATAAAGTAAAAAAAAACAGGGGAACTACATGCTTATTTGAACTTTGCTTCTCTTACAGGTTGGCATTCTTTACTTGATTAAAAACAACCTTGGGTTCTGAAAACTAGCATTGGATGTAGGTTTCTAATTATCTAGGTTGCTCTTGGTAACACACTGCAATTACCACATAAGCATTTCAAAAGTTTAAAATAATTCTTTAGTAGGGAATGCCAATGTTTCCACCAAAGCACCAAACACCACCCCGAAAGTATGTATTATTCTGTTTTCGAGTTGCTATAGATAGGACAGCAGGGTTCATAACCTTTCCCACAAATAGCATTCCACAGCTGTCAAATACTCCGGGCCCTGGTTGGGGGACTGCAGCCACTGGCAGGGATGCAGAGTGGATGGCATGGAACTCTGTGAGACAGATCACACGCTGTGTTCCTTGCGTGGGCCACGGACAAACACATAGGCTTCCTCACACAGCAGAGCTTACTTGAAAACAGAGACTTCATTCCTGTTTGGTTTTTCTTTGTAGACCCATCCCTGACAGTTAGAGCTGACATCACTGGAAGATACTCGAATCGTCTCTACGCTTACGAACCTTCAGATGTAGCGCTCTGTAAGTGTTACCTCCTGTGAACATACCTATTACTGTTGCTCTAGGAGTAGAGCTCTGGTGAGGAGAATCAGTTTGACCCTAACTAGCCTTGTGCAAATCATACTCACCTAGATCTCATTTATTTTAAATCTCAATGAAAGATTATTTAGATTAGGTGTCCTTTTCTCTTGGAGGATTCTGTGACCACATTACCTGCTTTTCAACTTTCCCTTAGGCAGTCTATCCCATAACTCCTACCAAAGAATAAATGCAGTAGTAATTGTTTTATTACAATAGTAATAGTGGTAATCTGCATGCCTTATGTAGTTTTTCCAAAAGATGAAAATGAAATAACGTAGTCCAGTTTGTTGACATTGAGTTTAAGTTTAATTTTAAAGATCAGAAGGAAAGACGGCTCCCAGTAGTTGGAAAGATTCTCACTTTGCCTGGATTTGCCATAAAATGGAAAGACAAGACAGTGCAGATAAAGCACCTCAGTGGGAGACTGTACCTAGTTGTCACATCTAATTAGTCCTTCTGGGAAGAAAGTTGGGCTTATCCCAAGAACCAATTCTGCTCAATGACTAGTGGCCGCGTAGAACTATATATCGCCCAATATGTGAGCCATGAGCTACACATAGCACTTCAACATTCAATTAATTAAAATTCAAAATTCAATTCCTCTGGCACACTAACCACAGTTTAAGTACTCAGTGCACCGGCACTGGATATTTTTCATCATCACAGTAATGTCTATTGAGCGGCATTGACCTAAAATATTACGCTGAGAAAGACAGTGAAGCTGCATCTGGGCAGCAGCAAAGATTATCATGGTCCATTGGCAATGCCTCTGGTGGGTGCCGGGAGGACCAGGGAAGCACATTCCAAGCACTGGACATTCTCGAGATAAGAGCATATATCTTAATAAGACTTTGGACTCCTTAAAGGCAGGTATCCTGCACAGGTAATATCACAGTGCTTTGTAGAAAAGGCATGTAATAAATATTGGAAGAGAACTGGAATGTAAGTAAAAGCCATTCACATACTTTTGGGAAAAAATTTCATAATAAAATTACCAACTCTTCACCCTATCATGAAATAGAACCCCATTTAGACAATGAATAAAGTACCCAAGTTTAGGGGTTTACTAGATCTATCAACACAATTGCTGGTGGCATCTTGACTGTGGCAACCTTTTCCCCCATTAGTGCTTGACAACATGAAGAAAGCTCTCAAATTGCTGAAGACTGAATTGTAGAGAAAAAGCAACATCTGCAAGCTTTTCCTTCTGTGTCAGGCCTTGAGACTTAAGAAGATCCTAGAAGACTTTGGAGAATGCGGGAACACAGATGGACACACTGATTAATTAGATCAGGGTTATTGTTACAACAGTTACTTTTTTTTAATTTGAAGTATATATGTATGAAAACAATCTTGCATACTACCAAGGTCAGCCATGATTTTTTTTTAAAAAATAAATCCTTTTGGGGGTGTTCAATGTTATTTCTTCCCCCAACTTAGTCCTTCAGAGAAAAGCTATTTAATTCATTCACCAAATAGGACTTCTGGACACACAAAATGTTCAAAGAGGAGACAAGACAAACTTCACTGGAGCAATGAAGACCAAAGACAGTCAAAGTTATCACCTCACCTCATTATGTAGTTTGTCACTGGGTGCCTAAAAATAGTCATGAGCTTAGTCAACAGAAGCACCAAAACAGAATATGTGTTAGTGTAAAAGAATATGTACAAAGGCATCCCAAGAAGATTGGGCACCTAACTGAAGACAACCCCTCCCCACCCTGGTGGGGAACTCCTTATACACACTTTAAGAATTCAATTTTAGTTAGATATTGCACAATTTAACCCTCTCAGAGAAAGCCTCTAGCAGACAGCTTTCTCCATCAGAGCACTAATTCAGTGAAAAGGTCATTCAAAGAACATCTGCACCCTTGAACATACCCTCAAGAAATGCTAAGAACTAGCCTTATGATACATTTGATCTCTCAAAAATCATTCAAGAAAAACAGAGTTCTGTGAAGATGCCAATGGCAACATTATTTAAACATACTTTTAAAAAAAGGCAACCTGGAAATATAATGGTTATAGTTTATGAACTCACAGGGCACTATGTTGTCCTCTATAAAAATAAACACTATGAAGAAACAAAAGGATAAGTGAAAAAGAATTTAAGAATATGTGCTGTAATGACAAAAGCAGGAAGTGTGTGCACACACAGGTTAGAAAGAGAAGATGCAAACACACAAACTTTTGCTTTAAGCATATGGAAACATCAGCAAAGCCTGTTCTAACAAACCCTTTCTTGCCATCTCCCGATCTTTCCTTTGTGTTCAAATAAATTTAAGTGAAAGCATATGTTGACAACCTAACTACACAGAATTGGAAGAATGCTGTAGGTCAAGGGAGTGTTATTTCAAACAGCTGAATAAAAAGGTTGGTAGCACACTGTCAACATAAAATGGCGCAGCCACTATAATATATATATATATATATATATATATATATATATATGGCTGTTCCTTACAAAATTAAACCCAAAATTACCATATAATCCAGTAAATCCACTTCTGAGTATGTCCCCCAAACACCTGAAAGCAGGGAAAAGCTATCTGTGTACTGATGTTCATAGCAGCATTTGTCACATAGTCAGGAGGAGGAAGCCACCCAAATGTCCATCGGTGGATGGATGCATAAACAAAATGCGATAAACACATACAATGGAATGCTATGCAGCCTTAAAAAGGAAAAAAAATTGTGACAAATACTACAACATGGATGAACCTTGAAAACACTATGCTAAGTGAATAAATAAGTCAGTCACAAAAGGACAAATACGTTGTTTCCACTTACATGAGGTGTCTGGATAGTCAGATTCACCAACACAGCAAGGAGCATGGTAGTCGCCGGGGGCTGAAGGCTAAGGGGAATGGGTGAGGCAGGTGTTATTGTATACCAGGTGTGCACTGTGAACTTGGGAAGATGAAAAAGCTCATGGTGCATAGACACTTTTCCAAAGAAGATGTCCGGATGGCTAAGAGACACATGAAAAGATGCTCAGCATGGCTCATCTTCAAGGAAATACAAATCAAAACCATGATGAGATTCAACCTCACACCTGTCAGAATGGCTAAACTTAACAACAGAAGGAAAACAACAGGTGTTGGTGAGGATGCAGAGAAATGAGAACCCTCTTGCACTGTTGTTGAGAATGCAAACTAGTTTGCAGCCACTCTGGAGAACAATATGGAGGTTCCTCAAAAAACTAAAAGTAGAACTACCCTACCCAGCAATTGCACTATTAGGTATTTACCCAAAGGATACAAAAAAAAAAAAAACAGATTTGAAGGAGTACATGCACCCCAATGTTTATGGCAGCATTATCAGCAACAGCCAAACTATAGAGAGAACCCAAATGTCCATCAACTGATAAATGTATACAGAAGATGAAGTATATATATACACAATGCAATATTACTCAGCCATCAAAAAAGAATGAAGTCTTGCCATTTGCAATGATGTGGATGGAGCTAGAATGTATTATGTTAAGCAAAATAAGTCAATCAGAGAGACAAATACCATATGATTTCACTCAGGTGTGGAATTTCAGAAAACAGATAAATGTATGGGAGGGGGAGAAAGAAAAAAGATGGAAACCACAAGAGACTGAGGGCTGATGGAGGGAGGGAGGTGGGGGATGGGTTAGATGGGTGATGGGTACTAAGGAGGGCACTTGTGATGAGCACTGGGTGTTGCATGTAAGGGATGAATCACCAAATGCTACTCCTGAAACCAATATTACACTGTATGTTAACTAACTAGACCAGATTAAAAAAGGGAGGGGGGAGAGAAAAAGCTCATGGTGATGGTTGTAGAACAATGTGAATGTACTTACTGTCACTTAATTATACACTTACAAATGGTTAAAAATGATACATTTTATGCTATGTGTATTTTACCACACTAAAAAAAAAATTTTTTTTTCTCAGTTTTATTGGCGGCCCCATGGCTTAGGTGGAAAAAGAGAAAGTAATTTAGAAAAAAAAAATTGGTAACATAAATCACCTGTGAGTCATTTACATGGATGTTCAACATGCCTGGTTAAACCATTTTCACCTGCTTAAGAGCTGCAGGCTTCAAATGATCATCTATGACTGCTTAGCTCTGTTTTGGTTTTTTGTGTGTTTCATGCAGTCAGTAACCCTAAGTAGCTTCTAAGGTCCTTATATTTAGCAATCACTGGTGAGCACAGGAGCTGGCGGAGAATTTAAAACATGCTCTGTGTCAAGAACAGAACTTTCTTCAGTCACTCACCAATGAGTCAGAGTTCAAAGTCCAAGTAAAATGAGCCTAACCTTTGAAAAAGCCACTCGTCAAGTTGTGACCTCCTAAACTGTAAAATGCAAGAACTTGAAAGTAAGCAAAGGTGGTTTCACCCTCCGAGTGGTATCACAGTCCATTGTTTGCCATATATTCTAACTCCAAGCAACGCTCTCCGGCCCTCATTTGAAAATGAATTCCATGGGGCGCCTGGGTGGCGCAGTCGGTTAAGCGTCCGACTTCAGCCAGGTCACGATCTCGCGGTCCGTGAGTTCGAGCCCCGCGTCAGGCTCTGGGCTGATGGCTCAGAGCCTGGAGCCTGTTTCCGATTCTGTGTCTCCCTCTCTCTCTGCCCCTCCCCCGTTCATGCTCTGTCTCTCTCTGTTCCAAAAATAAATAAAAAACGTTGAAAAAAAAAGTCAAAAGAAAATGAATTCCAAAAGCTGATTTTCCTGAGGAGACGGATGAGAAGTAGCCTGGCACATGGTACAGGAATCTGATTTTCCCCCTTGCCCACTATCTCCAGAGGTATTTCAGTGACTACAATTGCCCGGTTGTGATCACGACAAACAAGAAGACCTCTGTTCTCTTCTCTCTCTCTCTCTCTCTCTGGGGTTGAATGGAGGCGTGGGGTAAAGGGCATTACTGGGTTGCTCCCTTAAAATTGTTCAGAAAGCATTGACCAATAACACACACTCTAATTACATTTGGCATTGTCAGGTGGAAAATTAACTGCTAGCCCCAAGCATAACAAGTGCATAGCAACTCCACACAAATCCCCTGGAATTTCCAGAAACCTGAAAAACGCGGTACTTAACTTTATTGTCAACTCTAATAATAAAATTGACATGTGAATGATCCTATTTGTACAATCACAATGTCTGAAAGTGTTTTTCTCTCACAAAATACGGTGTAAAAATGTGATTCTAATTTGTGCAATACCAGCTATGAGGTGAAATCGTTTCATACATTTACTCAGTGCATTTTCAAAAGGACGCATAAACTAAAACAGGGATAAACAAATATTAAAAAAAAAAAGGTAGGAGGAGGTTTTTGGCTTAAGGGAACTAAGATTTTAAGCCACTATTCTGGATTCTTTTCTTTTCTTTGCACGGTTGTACTCAGTAGCATATTAGTTAGGCTGAACATGCAGAACTGGTTTTCATACCAAAGTCACTGTTTAGATCACAGAGCATCTGAGATGAATGTATGCTACATGAACTCTGATTTTAGGAATTATAGCCTCACATTTTTCCCTTGTATTAGCATAATATTAAGTAAAATTTCACCCTTCATATCAAGGTTGACTGGGCAAATGTTCTAAGAAATAAATATTCCTCTTAATGGAATATGTAAATAGAAAAAAAGAAATTTAAAAAACAAGTGTAGCTTCTTTTTTTAAAATAAATGTTAGTTTTAGAAGAGAGGAGTTCTAGAGTCTTGAGTGTGCATGACAGCCGTTTGTCATAACTCAAGGACTGACCCTGATCTGAAATTCACCCTCCTCTGATGCCGTGTGTTTGTAGCAACATCTCTGTGCACGTAGGCAGTGGCCCTCCTGTAATGCTGGGATCAGCCTGACTTCTGTAGCCGCATTAGCGGCCATTTGGGATTCAGGATAGACCCATTCAGAGGCCTTTCCAGTGGGTTTATAATAAAGTGTGCAATGGGAGCTTTATCTCTGCCTGCAGAACACAAGGATCCACAGGAGACCTCCCAGAAGAGGCTAGACAATCCATCACCTTCAGATCTGCCCAAGGGAACAGCAGGCCCAGATTAATCTAACAAGGCTGCTCTTGGTACTTGAGAATGTATTATTTCTTGAATGGTTAATCATTAGCTACCACCCACTCTTAGAATGCTATAGTTTAGTAGCCCTAAAGATTCATGCTTCCCATGCCCTGATTCGTAATTGGGTTGACCCAAATAAGGTCACTGCAATTAGAGCGCAAACAGGGCTATGGAAGAGCCCTTTCCACATATAATCATTTTGTACCAAGAAAAGTATTACATCAAGAGATACCAGAATCTCAAGGGAACTTCCAAATTTAACAAAGCAAACGAGGAAAATACAAAATGCCTTAAAGTAAAGACAGTGTTCAAAAATCTCACTTGCTTCATGCATCACTTCCAATCTCATCTTATGGGATAAGTAGGAACAATGTTACGGTTGCCCAGGGCTCAATGTGGCATTGAAGGAGAGCAGACTATGCCACTCTTTGACATAAAGATTATTTTGAGCTGATTATTTTTTTAATGTTTATTTTTGAGAGAGAGCATGAGCAGGAGAGGGGCAGAAAGAGAGAGAGAGAAAGAGAGACGATCTTTGGATCTGTGCAGACAGCAGATAGCCCAATGTAGGCCTTGAACCATGAGATCATGACCTGAGCTGAAGTCAGACGCTCAACCGAGCCACCCAGGCACCCCTTGAGCTGATTATTCTTGAAAAAAAGAGGACACAGGAGCAGTTCTGCAATGAGAGTAGAGGTTAATCCTTCTTTAAGGAAAATTTACATTTATAAAGGAAATCCCTATATGTAAAGGTGTCTCCTTCTCTGCACCAGGAAGAGAATGACTCTAAATCACAAGAAAGGTAGCCATGTAGAAGTCACTGGCCAAAACCCATTTTACAAGATGTGCCTTTGTTTACAGTGCTTTTCCTGTTAACCCCTGTAACTATCCTTCCCTCCAATTTCCACCTCCCAACACACACCCCTTTCTTTAGTCTTTAGCTAAAGACAGTATTTAAGATGATGTCTTGGGCTATCATGGGGAGTTTCTCAGCTTTCGGGGGTATTTCCTATGTATACATAAGATATTCATGTTAATAAACCTGTTTTTCCCTTGTTGATCTGACTTTTCTTACACATGGTCTAAGACAAGAACTCGGAAGAGCAAAGAGAAAACTATTTTTCCTTCCTGACAGTACCATGGGAACTGCACAATTTGGTTTTCTTGTAAAATCAGCCGGTCTTCCAGAGTCATAGAGGTGACACCACCACCAAATGCTCTAAAATTCTATATATCGACCATTTGCCCCCTTTCTTGGCCTAAAACCCATCGCTGTGACAATTACCAATGAAAGACTATATAGCACATAGAATGCAAGAACTTATGAACTGTCAATAACATGAAGGAACTTACATATTTTCCACAAATAAATACGAATGACTTCTCTTTTTAAAAAAAACGCTATGGAGAATTCTCACTGGAGAAAATATTAAACACTGAAACATTTCAAGAAAGAATGTGGGGAGGACTACCAGTAGACATCAATGCTGGGAGTTCATTTCCATGGCTAGATTATACACTACAATGGCAGGACTGGACTGTCGGTCAGAGTGAATAAAGCAATAAAGAAAAGAATTCCATTTCACTGAATTCATTTAGCAATTCTTCCATTAATTTAATTGAAACATTCACACACAAAGAAAGGTTTCCATTCTTTAATTTTTTAACATAATCTACAGAACCACAATACTATTTCAAATTCAAATTATGGGAGCTCACATTCAAATATGCTTGGATTTGACGAGTTGCTGTCACAATACTGAGAAAATTCATGAAAAAGGTATTTAACAATTTGTAAGATAATCAAATATCTTTTTGCTACATGGGCCAATGCATTAATAGTAACTTGTTTAAAAATGCAGTCTTTTGGACTTCAAATTATTATAAAAGAATAAGAAGGTTACATAGCTAGACTTTCTCAATTTCCCAAACTCATTACATCTCGAAACCTGAAGCAAATGTTACACATCAGAACATTCATGAGACCATTTCTCCTTTGTACTTACCTATAAGAATCAAAAACTAAACCACACGTTCCTAAAGACATAGCTATTTCTAGGCTACATTAGTGTAATCATAAAAGACTACTGGAACTAAATTATCACTTTTATGTTAACAATTTTCACAATACAGCTTTCCTAAAAAGACAAAAAAAAAAAAAATGGGGGAATTTGGATTTCCCTTACTGAATTTAACCTAACAGAATTTCACCCTTTCTGGCTGTAATAAATGTCAACTCTTCTTTCCAGTAGGAACTATTTACACAGCACAGTGCTACATACAATTAATTATTCCAGTGAGATGTATATTTAGATTTACAATATGATCAACACAATCGTGCCATACAAAGTTCTTCTGCAGGTAAAAATGCTAAGAAAGGCCACAGTGGACAGTGCCAGACACTGTGAATACAGTAGATTACAGGTACCACTGAGGTTCAGAGGAGACCACGAGTATCTAATTTTTTTCAGCAATGGAAAAGGAAAACATTTAGAGAAACGTAAGAATAAAAAATATATAATTCCACTGTCAATAATGTAACTTTTCAGATACTGCTTCCTTAAACAGGCAAATTAGCTGAACTTTAAGTTAGAGAAAGTGAACAAGATCAGAATATGAAAGATGTTCCTTGTTTTCGCATCAAAGGAATGCACTAGGATTAGCACGAGGATCTTTCTGGTTCCTGTATCTGTAGGTCAGCCAAACACCCAGGATCTGGAATGGAAGAAAAAAAAAAAGAAAAAGAAAAAGAAAGAGAAAGTAACAGTTGTATACATTTCTTCAGTGCATCAATACATAATTCTGGACCTCTGAAGCGCTTTGCATTATTTGTTCAAAGAGGAAGAAGTTTCTTTTTTTCCTTTTAAAGTGTAGTGACTAGCCCAAATTAGAGGCCCTAAGAACAATTACTATGACTACTGTGGTAGGCCAAATAATGGCCTTCCACAGATGTCTGCAACATAATCCCCAGAACCTGACAGAATAGGTTACCTTACATGGTAACAGGGACTATGCAGATGTGATTGGGTTAAAGATCTTGAGACAGGGAGATTATGTGGGTGGGCTGGCTGATGTAATCATAAGAAGGAAGAAGGACAAACAAAATCAGAGTCACAGAGAAAGGGTGATGTGATGACAGATGCAGAGGGGACAGTCAGAGAAAGGATGCTGCACTGCTGCCTTCGACGATGGAGGCTAAGTCCACGTGCCGCCTTCGAAGATGGAGGCCACGGCCACAAGCTGCACACTGTAGGAAGCTCTAGAGGCTGCCAAAGGCAAGGAAACAGGCTCTCCCAGAAAGCCTCCAGAAGGAGTCTGCATTTGACACTTCTGACCTCTAACAGCATAAAATCATAAACCCGTGTTGCTTGAAGCAACTCTTACAAACACTGAATTGTCTGGATAGCTAAAATATCACATATTCTGATAATTCAGAAACAAGCTGAGTTGAGGGAAAATTCAGCAGTAACAAAAACCCCACAGTAACAAATTTTGCTAATGGAGATCATTAAAAAATGTTACAATTCCTACCTCCCGAAGGGCACAAAGATCCGTAATTTTAGAAAAGTACTAAGTTGTTATTGTGCTGTTTCTTACACCAGGTTTACCAAAGCGTTAACCAACATAATTTTTTTTTTAATTAAGAAATGTGTTCATTCTGTTTCTGCCCTCTCAAAGTTGATTTACTTAAAATAATCAAAAATTCCTAGACTGAAAAGATATAAAAATTTAATGGAACAAAATGAATTTCAAATTATATTTTCCACTTTAGATCTGTAACAACTTTTCACCTAAATTTTGTATATTTGACTTCATTACTACTCATGAGCCCTCTAAACTACTTCTGGAGAATTATGATCACTCCACCATTTTCTCCCTTACCACAATAATAACCCCGGTGTTGTTATAAAATTGACGACCAGCACTGATTAGTTACAACACGTAAGAGCTGATGGAACTACGATCGTTGAGGTGAATCAAGGAAAAATAAGTCTACTTTAAGGAAGTGGAAAGTTTGGGTTGAAATACATACGACAGGGGTAGAAAAGGAATTTACTTAACACATCAAGAGTACTGCTCTGTTCTTCACACTTTACAAATTCAAACAACTTCCCGAACACCCTACTTGATGGGAACTATCATTATCCTTATTCCACCAGCAAAGGAACTGAGGCCAAGAGAGGCTAAATAACCAAGTGATAGTCACACAGGTCATGAGTGCTAGAACCGTGGTTCAAACCTGGAGTGATGCTCTCAGTGTTTGTGGTTGTACGTGAAATCTAATGTGCTGAAGGCCATTCTCAGGCTTACATTCCACCTACCACTTCAACCAGGCTGGTTGTTACAATGCTCAAATATTTACACACCCGTTGTCAAAGAGCAACTCCATGGACACCCCCCAACCCGCCCAAGCATCATTTCCTTCACTCTGCCTCAGAAATGTTGCACACGGGAAGAGCTTTTGGTGAGAATTTTTGAGGTTTTAATTTTTTTTTTTTTTAATGTTTACTTATTTATTCTGAGAGAGAGAGGGAGAGACAGAAGGGCAGAAAAAGAGAATCCCAAGCACGCTCCTTGCTGTCATTGCAGAGCCCAACACAGGGCTGGATCCCGCAAATCAGGAGATCATGACTTGAGCAGAAATCAAGAGTTGGATGCTAAACTGACTGCGCCACTCAGACGCCCCTTAAATATTCTGACTATCAGCCCTGGATATATACCGATAGTGTACGTTACAGTTCTTAGGGGAAACAAAGCAAATGGGTAAAATTAGACCCTCATAATCGGAGGCCACATTTTACCAAAACTTAATTCCTCCAATTCAGCTGTAAGTGACAAAATGAGACAGTCTCTTCTTTTGGCTTATTGTTGAGCCACTATCTCATCCCTCATTTCCAGGGAGTTTGGAAGGGAGGCCACACCCAAAGTGCAAAAAGATCAAAGTTAGGTAATGGATTTTAAGCTTACAAAGCTGCTTAAAATGATTTGAAGATTTTCAAGGGTAACTTTGACTAGAAGGGATCATGAACTCAGCTGATCCTAGAACCTACATCTAGAATGCAGGTCACCAACATAGAAATTGTGTCATAAGCCTATATATTATGCTTTATGTTTATTTATTAAATATAGGAAGACAAAAGGTAATATGCCAAAATATAAAGATTGGTATTTGTAATTTTATTTAGTAAATACATGTAATTTTTCATCTTAATAATTTTCTGTATTTTCTACAGTTTCTACAAAGAACGTGTGCTAACTTTTTAACTTTTTCTTCAGATTCTAAATGGTTTTTTTACGGTTTAAGTTTATTTTCAGGCATGATAAATAGTTCAAATCAAATCAATCTGTTTCACCTATGAGAGGAAATCATTGGTTCGGTTAGTTAGCCTCATCCCTATGATTCGGTGAAATACTGAATACAACAAAAAATTGAAAAGTGAGAGTACCTATAAAATATTTACTAACCAGAAAATAGCATGTGGGATAAATTATTTTTAAAATCTCTAACCAGGTTTCAAA